AATATTTTTCCACTATCCGTTTGATGTCTGAAATGTGTCTGCTGAGTTTATAACTTTTTCTGATATCTAGACAGTGTCAAGCACAAAGGATGAGGTGAAGAGGAGTTCACCAAATGCATATGAAAGCTATACATGTTAAATGGATGAAAGACAGGGAAAGAGAAGAGCTGTGGAAGACAGGGAAGAGAAGAGCTGTGGAAGACAGGGAAGAGAACTGTGGAAGACAGGGAAGAGAAGAGCTGTGGGTCTGACACCCGAGTCCTAAAACAGCAGCAGAAAGATGCTCAGCCAGTCATGTGCTTAATTAAGTCTGTATCTACATAATGAATTTTGAAGTGCATGTTGTCATGTTAGCCAAGGCAATTATTTGGCCTGTGAGATTTCTTCGGTGGTAGCAGGTGCAGCGCAACTGAGGAGACACAATGTTACCTTTTAACCTCTCTGGCTTGACTGCAAAGTTATTTTTAGGCTAAAAATGAATTATATAATTTCTATTTGGCCACAAATGAGGGGGCCACCAACAATGGACAGAAGATAATTCTGTTTGGTTTTATGTCACAGAGAGGAGTTGTGCAGTCTATGCTGGCAAATCCTGAGGACATCAGATGAGTCACCATGTCTTTATTTCACTTTATTTAATCCAATGAGAAGTCTCAAGTCACTGTAGCCACCAACATCTGGAGACTATCTCTTCCTGCAATACCGATGGCCTTCTTGCTGGCCTGTGAGTCAGCTAGGCAATCTTCACTATCCTTTCTATCTGCCTTTACGAATCCCACAGTCTCCTCCCCAGCACTGTAGCGCACCACTGGAAAAAGACAGCATCTTCAAACAATGGTGCTGGAAAAACCGGATGTCTGCATGTAGAAGAACCAAAATAGGACCAATACTTATTTTCCTGTACAAAATCCAACTCCAGATGGATCAAGGACCCCACCATAAGACCAGATACACTGAATCTGCTAAAAGAGAAAGTGGAAAAAATCCTTGAATATATTGGTACCTATGAACTCATAGATCAGCGCCTTGCTCGGCCATCTCAGAGAAGATTCCCCCTGCAGCGACTCAGTACTGGACAATGTGTAGAGAGTGAGAGACTTTGGAACACTCAGTCCTAAGTGGGTGTCTCCATTAAACTTCTCCCCTCATGTCACAGATAACTTTGCTGAAGAGGAGGCAAAATGATTTTAAGAGTTAGTGGTGATGGAAGGTAACAGGGAAACAATGCCTTCTAGACACAACGAGATTGATGCACAGATGAATTCCCAGAGACTGTGGTAGCATGTATGGGGCCTTCACAGGTCTAAGTCATCTGGGATCCAAGTGTTGCGAGGGCAAGTAAACACAAGTTCCAATCCCTAACCTGGAAGCTATCTCCTATCGACAAGTACTCACAAATGAAAAATCAGCTTTCTCTAGTGGCATCTCACTAGGCCTACAAACCACACTTAAGGGCAGGCCCCACGCCAGCAGTAGATGACCAACCAACACAGAGTGAACTCAATGGTATTTTTGGAGGGTTGTTTTTGTCATAATGTTTTGTTTTTTCCTTATAAATATCTTGGTTTCTTTTGTGTTTTTATGGGTTTTCAGTGTGTGTCTCAGTATCTGTAGTTGTTTATTGTGTATTTTTTGGTCTGTTTTCTTCTATTTATTTGTTTTGTTCTATCTTGCTTCGTTTTATTTGATCTTATTTTATTATGGTTGTTGTTTTAGTCTTTTTGTATTCCAATGAGAGAGAGAGAGAGAGTAAGAGTGTGAATTGCAGTGGGTGAGGAAGTGGGGAGGATCTGGATGAGTTGCGGGTGGGAAGCCATAATTGGAGTATACTGTATGGAAAAGAAAATCTATTTTCAGTGAAAAAAAAGTCTTAAGTCTTTTTGTGTTTCCATGTGCTTTTCAGAGGAATGAGGAATACTTTTTTATAATGGCATCTTTAATACTATTCAATGCCAGTTTTGCACACAGTTATCATTTTGTAGCTGTTTCTGAATTAGTCGGGAATGTGTGAGCATAAACACACTGATTACACTTCATTAAGGCATCATTGCTGAGTTATTTTCTCCCATCGTTTATAAGGATTGTGAATGTACCTATTTCCCTTCCTCTTTTTCACGCTGGTTTTTAAAGGTAGCATCTTTTATAACTGCTATCCTTAAAAACTACCTGCCTCTTGGGACTTGTAATCTATTGTAAATAAAGGTAATACCCAGAGATGAAAGCAGTTATGCCATTCAAGAAGGAGGTATGTATTTAGGCCATCCATTGACATGGGAGAAGAATCCAAGTGTAGTCTTCCTTTCTTCCTTTCTTTCTTTCTTTCTTTCTTTCTTTCTTTCTTTCTTTCTTTCTCTCTTTTTTTCTTCCTTTCTTTCTTTTCTCTCTCTCTCTCTCTTTCTCTCTCTCTTTTTCTTCCTTTCTTTCCCTTTCTTACAGGGGTCTCGTACAGTCCCAGGTGCCCTTAAAATCAATATGCAGCTGTTTATAATAGCCAATATATGGATATACCCTAATGTCCATTGAGAGGAAAATGGATAAAGAAAACATGACATTACTACATAGTAGAATATTATTCAACTTGGTCAATAATGGTAGTCTACCCTCTGCAATGACATACATGAGCCTGTGATATAATTCATTTAAAAAAGCAAAAGCCACTTTTTGAAGACATGCAAAACTCCATTTGTGTGGAGCAATGGAATTCACAGAAGCAGAGAATAGATGATAGTTTTCAAGGACCACAAAGGTAGGAAAATGGGGAGTTGATGTTCTATGTTTCAATATTCACTTATACAAGACAGATGAATTTTAGAGATCTGCTATACAATGAGGCAGTGATAATTAGGAAGAGATATGAATTTAAAATTTCAAAGGAGTTGTCTTAGTTAGGGTTTCTATTTCTATGAAGAGACACCATGACCACAGCAACTCATATAAAGGGAAACATTTAATCAGGGTGGCTCTACATTTCAGAGGTTCAGTTCATTATCATCAGAATAGGACATGGTGGTGTGCAGGCAGACATGGTAGCTGAGAGTCCTACATTTTGCAGGCAACAGGAAGCAGTCTGTCTCACTGAGTGTGGCTGGAGCATACATGAGACTTCAAAGCCTGCCTTCACAACGACACACTTCCTCCAACAAGGTCACACCTATTCCAACAAGGCCATGCCTCCTAAGAGCCACTCCCTTTAGGGGTCATTTTCTTTCAAACCACCACAGGAGTGTATGTCATTTAAGGGTTTTAATACCCACTACACAAATAAAAAAATGTAAATATTGGGAAATGACAGATGTTGTTGTAGTTTGAATCTGAAATGATCCCAGATAGGCACATATGTTTAAACATTTGGTATTAGCTGGCGGTGCTCCGTGAAGGGCTTGTGGGGACCCTAAGAAGAGGCCTCACTAGCAGAAGTGAGTTGCTGGGGCGAGGAGGTAATGTCTGTAGGTAATATCTTCTTATTCTGGAGCAAGCTCTCTGTTTCCTGATCCACCAAGAAGTAAAAGAGCTTCTTGCCATTATTAGTGGAGCCACTCCAGTATCAAGCATTTTCTATACACGCTAAGCTGTGTCTAGGGGAAGCCTTTCCTCCCTTACACTTCCGTCCAGTGTTTTATCATGATGAGAAAATTACTTGAGACTGGTGTGCTTGTTCCCCTGAATGTAGACGTGGTATCATGGTGACTCCATAAGTCCAGATACATCAGATAACATACATTAAACGTGTGTGTCTAAAGCATAACCACATCTAAGTGAAGCTGATAAAAATTGGGCAGTCGAGCTGGCTCAGGAGATAAAGAGTTGTCCCCTGACTTCCATATGTGTGTCAGAATATAGGTGCACGCACACTATATATGAAGCTATAAAATTGTCTATAAGACATATTTTAAAATACATGGAAGCATACACATGTAGCATTTAGACGTGTGCTTATTTGTGGTAAGAAAAGAAGTGGAAGATAAAGCAGAAATTGGGGTGGCGGTTACTACTGGGAGACGAGGGGTCAAAAAGAATTAGGAAGAGAGCACATGTGATTCAAAGACACTGTCATGCTCTACTTCCTAAACTGAGCTGTAAATATACAGTGATGACAGTTGCTAGTGCTATTGACATCTTATTTTTTTTTACATTACATCCAAATATAGAAAAGCTCTTCCATAAACAATGAACACCAGACAGTCATATAGGAAGCAGGCTTTGTATTCCATTCAAGCATGTTTATAATCCGGCAATTGCCATGTTTGTTTCACTGAACACGGAGATTAAAGCAAGGCACACACATGTTGAATACCAGTAGCTCAAGTGACACCTTGTAGCTTGTCATGTGGGATTCTAACTCGTCTATGCCACTGCATCTGCTGTCATAAAATACTGAAGTGATTTTTCTCTGAAAGGCGTTATTACTCGTGAAAAATGAACATTTTATGAAGTAATAGTCGAGACACCTTTATTTCTCAATGGTATCGAAAACAACCCAGGGAAGTTGCTAGACTTATGTAATGGCAATTGATACAAGCTTGTGCTTTTGTTTCTGTTAAGGACATGTGTTCAGGAAAGCTTGAAAGAGAATACTGCTTCCTCCGCCTCACACACTCACCCTATTCCCATGTCAGAGACAGATCCTGTGTTCCCAGGCAAGTTTAAATTAAACACATCAATCATCCTAAGGCTCAAGAATTACCTAATGCTGTGATAAACGACTCTTGGATTTAGCCTCTTAGGGCTTGCTGTTTGGAGATTTGGTACCCATGTGCATTTATGTATTGGATTTAGGAGGTCTGATGCAGAAAGGGAACAGATACGCATCGCATCTATGCTTTATCAAACCATCTCCAGAGGGGCCTGGCATGGTGTTTGGTATTGTCATTCTCAGGATTATTTCCAAAATGCTTAATGGCATTTTCTTGGAAGAAGGTTAAGTTAAACATCACCAAAATAAAACACAAAAACAAAACAAAACAAACAAACAAACAAACAAAAAACAAAAGAACACAAACCTGAGTACTAAGATCCACTCATAAAGCAAAGGTCAGAAGGTTTAAAGCCAAAGTAGTGAGTTGGTAGAATCGCCCTGAAATAGAGCTCATGGGTGATTTTCTGATCTGCAAACATCCTAAAAAACAGAAAAGATAACAGTGGATATCATTAAGAATTTAAGGAAATAAAAGGATGTATTTATTTAGATGTAGAGAGAATTCAGGTATAGACATCCTAGGCTGGTCCACTGCTAAACCATCAAGCCATAGCTTTTTGTTTGTTTTGTTTCTAAATAAGGAATAGGGGATTATCTATCTATCTACCAAGCTATCCATCATTAGCATCTTCATTTATATTTAAATGAGTATACTAAAGACTGAGTAAAGCACAAAGGTGCCATTTGAAGTCATGCAGAAAGGAATCAAAGTGATTTTTAGAATTACAGTGAATGTGGTAATTATATGTCTTCTGCAATCATACTGGTTCAGCTTGCATACACAGCTAAACAAAGGGTGCTGGGAATTCACTGAAATGAATAGCTTGGAATTCATACCCCAATCTCTACGAAGGCATGGGACATCTGAACATGTCTTTTTCATCTATTTGCTGTTTGTGGGGAAGAATTAATATATAATTTTCTTTATCACTGTCAGTCATGCTTTGTCTAGAACAGAAAACAAAAGTACGCCAGACAGCCACCTAGGAAAATGGTGGGCTGCTTTAATGAGGAGAGAAAGGGGAGAGAAAGCCCACGAAAGAAGCTTTGGACGTAGGTGTTGAATACAATTATTTTGTAAACGTTTGGAATAGTTCCCAGTTTGGTTAATGAGGTAGCCATTTGCTTGACTGAATGGTCTTTGAAAAACCTTCTGTTCTGTAAAAGATATTTCCTCGTCGCTGCCAGCTTATTTCTATCACTGAGGCTATTTGGCGACAATGAACCTGGTCTGGATGGCTGGAAGGATACTGCTTCTTTAATCATCTAAATTGATTTTCTTAACTTTCTCATCAATCTTTATAAAAGACAGACACAACAGAGGACTGGAGGCTGTTCCTCGCAAGAATTCTCTTTTTATTGTACTGTAAACATTTTCCAATCAGCATTTTAATAATATTTAGACTTTTATCAGTCATCCTTTTAACCAAACACATGAGCTGCCAAGACTCAGAGCCAGCATCTTCCACCTGGCCTGATTTAAAATCTTTTCACTTGCAGACTGTTGTCTTGCCTGCCTCCAGTAATTTTTCAAAACTGCCGTTAAATCATCATGTTGACCCATGCTTTAACCTTGCCACCTGCTTCCTTCACACTGTATCATCGCTTTCCAAATGCTCTACGAATTTGGACCATGATTCTACTTTAAATCTCTCCATTGTAAAGTAAAAAAAAAAAAAAAGTGTGTCCATGGTTCTTTCTAGCTCCTTGTTATTTGTGTTCAGTTACCTCACCAAATGTCCAGCTTTGCTCTTGGACTGTTACTTCTCCAGACTGCCGAGATAGTTTGCTTCCTTTCATTTTTACACCCTATCTTAATACTTGTAGATGCTTCCCCCATCTTCCTAAAATTAAGTTACTTTCTGGAATACAACTTTTATGGACTTTTGAAACAAGTATCATTATTAGTAAGTGTGCATAGCAACATTATTTTATTTATATTTATCTATCAAGAATAGATTTCTTTGTCCATGAATTGCCTTACTAAGTTTACAGTTCAATCTAATCATTACTTTGCCTCCCATACTGATACTGCCCTATAATTCTGAGGTTCTAAAGCCTAAAATGAGTGCTTATTTGAAAATGATGAGACAGATGAAAATGTTTTATAAATTGATTGAAAATATAAATGTTAGAATGTAGGAGATGATTTGAATTATTTTCCACAGAGAAATGTAAATTGGTACACTTATTCTCCAAACCTTTGACATTTCTTCAGTAAATGGTGTCTTATATCTCAGTAATTTGATTTCCAGTTACATCCTTAGGTAAAATAAAAACATATCTACTGTAAAACTTACACATGAATGTTCATACAATATTGTTAATAGTAGAGCTAACTCAAATATTCATTAACTGGTGAGTAAATAAAAATGTTGTGTTCATAAACACAATACTGTACTGATTCTTTTTTCCATTTTAAATTAGTTGACTTATTTCTGTTTATGTTACTCAGTTTTTGGATTTATACATTTCAATATTCTGATTTATTATGATACTTGTAAATATTTTCTCTAGTTTCCTTGTGATTAGAATAATTCACTATATAAATGTCTCAGTGACTATTTTATTTAGATGCACTATGCCCAAGGCAACTCCTAGAAAACAAAGCATTTAATTGTGGGTTAGCTTACGGTTTCATCATGGTAGGGAGCATGACAATAGGTATGTCACTAGGAAAGCAGTTAAGAGCTATAGGCAGAGATTTATAGGCAGAGAGAGCCTGCACCTGCTGGGCGTTTGAAACCTCACAACCCATGTACAGTGAAACACTTCCTCCAATGAGGTTGTACCTCCCAATTTTTCAAACAGTTCCTCTCTCTGCTGATGAAGTATTCAAATATATGAGCTCTTGGGGGGCATTCTTATTCAAACCCATCATGATAAATGAATTAAAAGTCAAAAAACACATGACTGTTGCTGGATTTTTTGTGTTCCACCAGGTCACACTGCTTCAGCCCCGTATGAACACACAGAGACAGTATATTAATTATTAAATGTTGGTTGATGACTAGGGCTTCTTATTGGATAGCTCTCTCTTAATTATTAATCCTTACTAATCTATGTATTTCTACATGGCCTTATCTGACTGGAGAATGCCTGGTGCCTCCTATCCTCCTGGTTTCCACATGGCAACTCTTTCTTGCCTTCTCAGAATTCTCCTCGTCTCCTCGCCTCGCCTATCTTCTTGCCTCTATTGGCCAAACAGAGTTTTATTCTTCAACCAATAAGAGAAACATGTACAGACCATCACATGACCATCTTACTAAGTGCAGAAAATGTCCTTGACAAAATACAGCACCCCTTCAACATAATAAAGACAGTTTATAGCATCATCATCAACTTCAATAAAGAGAAACTCAAAGCAATTCCACTAAAATCAGTAACAAGTCAAGGTTGTCTACTCTCTTCATACCTGTTTAATATAGACTTGAAGTATTGGTTAGGGAAATTTGACAACTGAAGGAGATCAAGGGGGTACAAATTGGAAAGAGAGAAATCAAATTATCTTTATTTGCAGATGACCTGATAGTATAAATAAGAGATCCTAAAAATTCTACCAGGACACTCTTACAGCTGATAAACACTTTCAGCAGAGTAGCTAGATACAAAATTAACTCACAAAAGTCAGGAGCCTTCCTTTATACAAATGATAAACAGACTGAGAAAGAAATCAGGGAAACAACACCTTTCACAATAGCCACAAAGAGTGTAAAATATCTTGGGGTAAATCTAACCAAGTGAGTAAAAGAATTGTATGTCAAAAGTTTCAAGTCATCGAAGGAAAAAATTGAAGAAGATATTAGAAGATGTAAAGATCTCCTCCAATGCTCATGGGTTAATATAGTAATAGTCTAATATTATAGGATTAATGTAGTAAAAATGGCCATTCTTCCAAAAACAATCTACAAACTCAATGCAAGCCTATCCAAATTTCAACACGATTTTTCACAGATCTTGAAAGGGCAATTCTTAGCTTTTTATGGAAACACAAAAATCCTAGAATTCCTAAAACAATCCTGAATAACAAGACAAATCACCATACCTGACCTCAAATTGCACTACAATGCTATAGTCATAAAAGCAACTTGGTATTGGCAATACCAAGATTGCAGAAAACAGAGTGAAGATTCCTAATGAAGTTAATAAAAGAATTATGGGAACCCACAATATTTCCTCTTGAGATTCAGGCAATCTCTTAACTGTAATCCCCTGTAAAATGCAGATCACATACTTCCAACGTATAATGGTACTCGGATATATATTACCATTCCAAAACATAGGGAAGGGAGCATAGGAGGAAATGCTGGACTAAAGAAAGACCGAAAACCAGCAAACTCCAAACTCTGCACCACCAGGTCTGATGCCAAAATGCTCTTCAGATCTCCTACTCCTTTCAGCTTTGTTGTGAGAGCAATACACTTCTTTCTCATGGGCTATTTCCCTTCCCTGTTAGCAGCTTTCCTTAGCAGGCATTCCACGGCTCTGGCATCTCCAACATCTTGGGGTCTCCAAAGCAATTTCGGCTTCTCACACAATGGACTCTCTAGTCCTCCATTCAGGGATACCCCTGACACATGCCTTACCTCAGTGGCTTTCCTTAGGTTCAGAGGCAAATTCCATAACGTCTTTCTTCTATCCTTGACTCTAAAGCCAGAACCACATGGCTGAAGCTGGGAACAGGGTCCCTTTGTTCAATTACATCTTTGCCAGTTTTATGCTCTTCACTGCCCAAGTCTGGCTGTCCTGAAACAGGATCTGTAGTCCAGGCTGGCCTCAAACTCAGTGATCTGCCAGCTTCTGCCTCTGGAGGGCTGGGATTAAAGGCATGTACAACCACACCTGGGTCTAAACTTTTCTTTAATTCCTTTTGATGAGTTGGAAACTTAGCTGGGGGGGATCTTGCCCTGAGGTCACCACTCCCTTTATTCTTCCATTTCCGAATCTGTTTCTCTCCTTAGCTCTAGCCCACTTTCTGGTGCTCCTTTTTTTTCTTAATTGTACATTTTGTGCTTCTTTCTCTTGCTTAGCTTGCTCTTTTTTATTATAAATCTTCATAAGAGCGACCACTAATAACCACACAACAGAGTCAATACTAGGCTGTTTTGAGATTTCCTTTGCCAACAGAACTAACCCGAAAGTCTTCACTTTAGCTTCCGGTAGACTCTTTGGACAAGGGCAAAAAGCAGCTACTTTCTTCACAAAAATATCACAAGAATGATCTCTAAGCAACACACTATTTTTTTTTATCGGAAACCTCTTGAATCAGCCTCCCACAGTTCAAATCATTAATTTTAACACCTCTGTCTTCCATGTTCCTGCTACCATGGCCCGTTCAGCAGTACTTAAAGCATTGCACTGCTTTCCTAACCCAAAGTACCAAAGTCTAAATTCCTCCAAACAAACATTTTTCTTTATAA